TTTCTGCATCTATTGAGATGACAATGTGGTTTTTGTCTTTGAGTCCATTTTTATGATTAATGATGTTTATTGACTTGTGTATATTGAACCATCCCTCCATCTCTAGGATAAAGCCTACTTGATAATGGTGAATGATCTTTCTGATGTGTGTCTGTATGTGGTTTACAAGTATTTTGTTGAAAAATTTTGCATCTATGTTCATTAAGGGTATGGGTCTATAGTTTTCTATTTTGGGTTGTGTAATTACCTGGTTTGTGTATTAGAGTGATGCTGGCTTCATAGAAGGAAATTGGGAGTTCTACCTCTGTTTCTCTCATTTTGAATAATTTAACTAGTATTGGTTGGAGGTCTTTAATTGTCTGGTAGAATTCTGCTGTAAATCCATCTGGGCCTGGGCTTTTTTGAGTTGGGAGGCTTTGTGTTACTGTTTCAGTTTCCTTATATGTTATGAGTCTGTTTAAACTGTTGATCTCTTCTTGGTTTAACTTTGATGATTTCAGATATCCATCCATTTCTTTTAGACTTTCAGATTTAGTAGCATATAGGTTTTTAAAATATTCCCTTATAATGGTTTGGATGTTTTGAATGTCTGTTGTGGTGTTTCCCCTTTCATCTCTGATTTTGTTGATTTGGATTTGCTCTTTCTTTCTTTTGGTTAACTGGGGTAAGGGCCATTGTTGAGCTTTTCAAAGAACCAGCTCTTAGATTCATTGATTCTTTGTATTGCTTTCTTTGTTTCTGTTTCATTAATTTCTGCTCTGATTTTTGTTATTTCTTCTCTTCTGCTGGGTTTGGGTTTCATTTGTCCTTGCCTTTCCAGTGCCTTGAGTTTCAGTGTTAGGTCATTTATTTGGACTCCTTCCAATTTCTTAATGTAGGCACTTAGAGCTATAAACTTCCCCTTAGGACTGCTTTTATTGTGTCTCAGAGGTTGTGTTGTGTTGTATTGTCCTTTTTGTTAAATTCCAGGAATTCCTTTATTTCTTTCTTGATTTCTCCTTTGACTTATTGTTTAGGAGTGTGTTGTTCAATCACCATGAGTTCATGTAGTGACTAGAGCTTCGTCCAATGTTGATTTTAAGCCTGATTGCTTTGTGGTCCGATAGAATTCATGGAATTATTTCAATATTTTTGTATTTGTTGAGGTTTGTTTTGTGGCCCAGTATGTGGTCAATTTTTGAAAATGTTCCATAAGGTACTGAGTAAAAAAATGTATGCTTTAGTGTTTGGGTGGAATAATCAAAAGTTGTCTATTAGGTCCATTTGATGTATGTTATCATATAATTCAGATGTCTCTTTGTTTATTGTTTGTCCAGTTGACCTATCTAATGGAGACAGTAGGGTATTGAAGTCCCCTACTATTACTGAGTTGGGATTAATCTGTGTCTTAAAGTCCTGCAGTGTTGTTTTTATAAACTTGGGCGCACCAGAGTTTGGTGCATATATGTTAAGGATTGTAATATCTTCTTGGTTAATTGTTCCTTTGATCGGCATGAAGTGACTGTGCTTAACTCTTCTGACTAGTTTTACTTTGAAGTCTATTTTGTCAGATATTAGAATTGCAACCCCTTATTGCTTCTTAGTGCCATTTGCTTGGAATATTCTTTTCCATCCTTTCACCTTAAGATAGTGCCTGTCCTTGAAGGTA